GCAGTGATAAAAAATTGTACTCATTGTTTAAGGCACTCTGTACCGTGGCACTCAAATATTGACTGACACAGATTCACAATCAAGCTCTAATTTCTGAAAACAATATAGCTCACCTTGTACATATTAAGCAAATATCTCCCTGCATTTGGGGGAAAATAAACCCTAGAAATTATGCTTAATTCTAGCATGATTTAGGAGGAAAGAGGCAGCCTCTGCCCAGGCTTGTTCAAGCATAATAATGGCAGTGTGACCATACTCTCCCGTCCCTGGGAACCCCCTGGAATCCATTATTTATGTAGTTACCGCTATAAGTGAGTGACCCCTATAAGACACCCTCAGAGTGTGAAGCCCAAACTCAGGAGCTCTCGTCCAGCAACCGAGACCACAGCAGAGTGCTATCCCCTCAGAGCCAGCCTGGGCTGCATCTGAAAATCACACCCTCAGTCCTAACTTGCTTACATTTGCTGTATTTTAATTTTACAAAGTACTTTTGTTACTGACTAGGGTTCTTGGCCTCCTTAATCAGTAGAAGTTGACAAGAGGCCAAACTTGGGCAAGGCTTTTGGGGGCTCCTACTGCAGCAGGAGGGAACAGAAACAAGTAGGTTCCCTTGCTCACTCCCTGAGGAGGGGTGAGCTGGCTCCTTAAATGGGGTGAGGGCAGGGGTGGATGCAGGGGTTAGGCCAGAGGGATGGCGTAGGTGGTCTGCCCACACCCTTGGCAGTGCTGTGTGGGTTTTTGCTCTTTTTGTATCTTGTTCATAAGTTGCCCCACTGTCCATTTATGTAGTTATTTTTAGTCCCTTACATATATATATATTTTTTTTTTTCTTTCTTTTTTTGGTTATTTTGTTGCTCCAGGAGACGTTTGCCTAGGTGCAAGCACTACAGCAAAGAGCCCCAGACCCCAGCCTATAAGTCACTTTCACAAGGTCTTATTTTATGACAACCTCTCAGGGACATTTACACACCATTGCCTAGAAACAGAAATTTTCATGTCTACAGATCCAGTCTGCATGCTTTGATATAGGAAACTGCTCAGATAACAGAATGGGGAGGATAAAGACTAAAGTTCATTACTTGTCAGGGAGTTTGAGTTGTAACATTCAGATATGGAACTCCAAAAGGAAGAAGACAAAGCTAATGTTTTATCAACCTGACCACATCCCGAAGTGTTGAGCTATTTCCATGTTGGACAAAACAGCAGTGTGGCCTAATTTTGTAGCAAGAATTTCATTTAATATTGTTCCCAAATGAGATTCCTGTAAAACGAGTATTTGAGAAATCATTTACAGACTTCTCCATAAAATTAACATTAAAAGCTGACCATCTTATTAGTGCTTGGAAATCCAGTTTCACCTTGAGATACTACTGCATCCTGACTTGAATCACAAAGAATCCAATTTCATTTCTTATTTCAAAATTGTAATGATGAGCTTAAGAAATTTAGTTTGAGGTGAGGATTTTCTTATGAATGCCTTCAGTTAAGGCTTTCCAAACTTTTTCAGTCTGGCACATCTAGAGATCAATAGGATTTATGGGTTTTTTTTTTTTTATATAGTTAATTGTTTCAAATTACAGCAAAGTGATTCAGTTATACATATATTGAATATACTTCTTCATTCTTTTTATTACAAGATATTGAATATAGTTCCCTGTGCCGTACAGCAGGTCCTTGTTAACCTATTTTATACATAGTAGTATGTACATGTTAATCCCAAAATCTTAATTTCTTTCCCATCTCTCTACCTCCCACCCTGCTATACCCTTTGATAACCATAAGTTTTCTATGCCTGTGAGTCTATTTCTGTTTTGTAAAGAAGTTTGAATCACTTTTTTTTTTAGATTATACATAAGTGATATCATATATGCCAGGGGCCCCCAACCTCTGGGATTTAATTCCTGATGATCTAAGGTGGGGCTGATATGCTTGAATCATCCTCAAACCATTCCCCCCAGTCAAGTCTGTGGAAAAGTTGTCTTCCATCAAACTGGTTCCTAGTGCCAAAAAGGTTGGGGACCACTGATATATGTGACCATTTGGACAGTCTAGGAGGTTTCCTGCAAACTTAAAATAATAGCTTGAAAGGTGAACCTCCTTCACTGAGGTGTTTTTGTTGAGTCAGTGTGAATTCTGTCTGTAGTGGGAAACCTGCAGTAACTCTACCTGAGGGCTACACATACAAGAATACGTCTTCCACTCATTTTTCTGAAATTCTTCTTGGACACTGAAAACTATCTAGCCAAGGTAAATGTATTCATATTTTTTTCAAAATGCGAGTGCCACATTAACCTAAGTGGTGACTGAAAATAAGCACTCTCATAGAAGGTATTTTTATGGCTGTAAATTTGACACTAGCAAGGCAACTTTCTCCATGAACCTGAACCATGCCAACTATGTTCTGAGAATACCATTAAAATTCCCCTTCCGGTAATGTGACATGTGGCCCTTAGATCTGAGCGAGTTCAAAAGACAGAGTAAGACTCATAAATGGAAAACCCAAAAGAGAATGAAAACACCCAGGTTGTTCTGCTTTTAAGAATAAGAGTGTTACTGATAAAACCAGCTCACATTTTAATAACAAATAACTCAACTTTTTTTAAGCTAAATTTTAATGAGTAAAAATAAATCCCTCACAAATGAAGTTTACACAATGACCTATGGCTGAAAATGAAGTTCTAATTTTTCTTGCTCACATGATTTTTTCCCTTCTCTGTTCTGATTTCTCTCAGTTGAGCTTTTATGACAGAAAAAAACAACTGGTATTTCTCCTCATGCCCCCTTATCTCACTCTAATAAAAAGCAGGAAAAAAACAGAGATTAAAACAACTGTATTAAACGTTCACTTTTGTGTTATCAGATGCATTTCATTCATTCCAGGGCAGTCAGAGAGAAAAAAAAACAGGCAGTTGGTTTTTAAGCTGTTTCACATTGACACTCCCAACTGTGCCAGGAGTGCCCACTGCTTGGTTAGCAATACTCAGTCTGGAAAATGGCCCCAAAGGTGTGCGTGGCCGCAGCTGACTCAGCAGAGCCTGCCCTGGTGGGCTCCTTCCCCAGGGCAGCCCCCACGCGCTGCAGCTGGATGTAGAAGGGCTGGTATCAGTTCCCAGCTGAGCAAGCAGGCGAGGAGCGAGCACTCGCCGCGACAGGTCTTTACTGTGTGGTGACAAGTTTCACAATCATGCTGATGATCCGTGACCCTCGAGGACAGGTGCACAGATCTATGCTTGGGTTTTTTATCTTATCCTGGAGGAGCTGGTCAAGTTCACAACGAAGTTCCTTTACTAATTCAGCCACCTAAAATGAAAGTTGCAATGTAAGCAGTGCTTGGACCACCAGGGGAGGAAATGTGGTTAAAGGAAATTCTCCAGTTGTGATGATCATTGTTCTAGGTCTCTGCTATTAATTCCACGGGGGGAGAAAGAAACACTTTTTTCCTTGTAAAAGTGCTTCTAAAGTTTCTTGATGCAATTATAGGAACATACAGCTCTGTAGTGTACTAACTGGGGGGCCATTATAAAAAGGCTCCTCTGTCACATCTCAAAGAAAAGATTAAATCCAGAAATGGCTTTTATGCGGTGTTCTGCATGTTAAAGCTTGGTCAGCTTTTACAATTAGCTCCGAGAGGAGAATCAGGAAAATGGAGAATTAAAAATGGTGGACATTAAACCAAAAAATCTCTTTAACTTTGGAATTTTTATGCATTGGTTGGTGAGGAGGTGGGGTGGGAGGCAGCACCACATTGCTTGTGTGATGCAGTGCCACTGTGGATGTCTTACCAACATCTGTCTGGCTCCTCCTCCACCATGTGGCGGCCCTGGAGTAGACACTCTGATCTAATCACATAGGCTCATGCCATGCACCAGAGTGAACGGTTCAGGGGATTCAGGCCTTAGAGACCATGACATTCTTCAGTGACAGGAACTGGTTTAGAAGAAGAGGTGTGCATTCAGGAAAGCAGCATTCCGTCTCCACTTTGGGGCAGTATGTGCTGCATGGACATGAGGCAGTAGCTACAGCCATCCTATACCAGGGGCCAGTCAGGCTTTTCTCATTAAACAGTTGAATCAAACCAACCCTGCCTGGCCCTCCTGACCTGTACTGTCCCATGTGGCTAATCTCATGGCACATGAAATGTGCCTGGTCTAAACTGAGATGTACTGTGATTATAAAATACATACCAGATTTTGAAGACTTAGTATGAAAAAGAATATAAAAACCTCAATTTTTTATATTGATTACATGATATAATGAAAACTTTTTAATGTTTTATGCTATATAAAATACATTAAAATTAATTTCACCTATTTACTTTTTTAAAATGTGGCTACTAGAAAAATTATTAGGTATGTGCACATATATTTTTCCTAGACAGTGCTGCTTTAGACTTTAAAGGGAATTCATTGGTGTATTTCACTGTAATGTTTGAATTGGTATTTCTGCCCCCTGCAATAGAAGATTAGAAGATTTCCAACAGATGCAAATGTTAAAATTTTTTCTTAAATATACTCTCCCTTAAATGTTTTCTCGAGACTCCATATACTAATTTGATACCTGAGAATAAAAACATTTAGACCCATTATCTTTTTTTTTTTAATGGTGGCTGTGGAATCAGGGTAATTTTTACTTACTTCTGCTCATCTGTGTTTTCTTTGAATCTACACGTCTGTTACAGAAAGCTCCGACACCTCACTCACGGCTTCTGTCCTCTCGCACCACTGCCCTGGGCTCTCCCTCCCGGTGCACGTCTTCAGCCCTCACCACGGCTCCACCCTGGCCGTGCTGCAGCCTCAGTCTTGCTCAGTGTCCCCTGCACACGCGTCATTCACTCTAACTCAGCCCTGTCGTCCTTGTTCCCTGAATGAATGAATGCCCTGTACTCCACATTACCAGAGCCCCATCCCTTACCTGATGGGAAGCGGCTGCAAAGCGGATCCAACCATCATCCAAGGAAACAACAAACTCTCCCTTTTGGAGCTGCACATTCACCTGGCCTCCTCCAAACAAGACCAGTGGGTACACAGACACCATGCTGCAGTCTCGGATGAACACGCGACTCGTTTTGATCTTCTCGTGGTACACCAGGTAGGGACTGTCAAAGTGTCTGACCTGGAACATGACAGTGATGTCACTGCAACATATGCAGAATCCCACCAGCCCCGGGGATTTACCTGTCACCTGTCCAGTGACCCCCCAGATGACCGCCAGCCTGTAACTTCCCCTCAGCTCTAGCCTTGTACTTACAGCTGCCTATTGGATGTCTGCACCTGGACAGCTAACAAGTATCTTGGACTGCTTATGTTTAAGGGAACTCTCCATTTTCCCGTGCTTGTCGGGTTCACTATCTCAGTGAGAGAGACTGCCATTCACCCAGCTGCTCAAGCCCCAAATTTGGAAGCATCCTTGATTGCTTTCTCTCCCTCACTCTAGCTCTATCATCACTAAGTCCTGATGGTTCTATTTTCAAAATACACAATGAACTGACATAGTATCTCCACTTCTACAGTCACCACCTTGTGCAAACCATCATCTCATGCAGACCACTGCAGTGGCTTCCTATGTACTTGCCCCTTTGCATGCTCACAGTTTCTTTTCCATACGGCGGCCACAGTGACCTTTTAAAAACCAGGTAGGGCTCAAAACCCTCCAGAGATTTCCCAAGGATAAAATCTTAGATCTTTACTGTGGACTACAAGGTCCTACACAACCTGATCCCTGCCTGCTTATCCCAACTCTTCTGTCACCGCCACTCCTAACCTTCCCCCTCATTTGCACTGGTTGCCTTCTTGCATTTGCCGGAACACACCAAATGTGCTCTCATCTCATGGTCTTTGCATTTATTTCCCCGGCTTGGAATGTTTTCTTTTTAGATACCTGCATGACTTGCCCTTTACTTCATTTAGGACTTGTCCAATTATTTCTCCTCAGAGTTCTTCCCTGACCACACTATATAAAACAGCTCCTCTTCAGAGGGGGAGGGATAAATTAGGAATATGAGATTAATAGATACCACTGTATATAAAAGATAACAAGGATTTACTGTACAACACAGAGAATTATAGTCAATATATGTAGTAACCTATAACATAAATGAATCTGAAGGTATATACCTTATTTACAGTATTGTGTTAATTTCAACTATAGTTAAAAAAAACCCCTCTCCTGTCACTCTCAATCTCTTATGGTTTTATTTTCTAACATCTGTCATTAACCTGAGATTGTTTACTTATTTCTTGCCTTACAGAACATAAGCTCCCTGAGGGCAGAGACCGTGTCTCCCTAGCTCATCTGCTGTCCTTCATGGCCTACAACAGTGCCTGGCACAAAGGTGGTGGCAGGTACTGAATGGATGCATGGATGACTTAGATTTACTGCAGAAATGTCATGGTAATCTCAGGAGAGGAGTGGAGATAATTTGGGCCCCTGGTTGCTAAGTACACATGCAGTGGAGAGGGCAGATGATCTCCTAGTCCTCAGACTCTTCTGAGCTTAAGGAGATTTTTTCATGCTTTGTTGACACTTCATTTAGTAGTTCCAGGGGTTGACCAGCCCTCACACTTCAAACTCTCTTCATTCTCTTTTCCTCCATCTCTTTATCAAGATGAACCTTTGCTGAACATCTGCCTTCATGCTGGCGAGGCACTGTGCTAGACACTGAGAATGTGGAAATAAATAAAATTCAATTCCTGTCTTCAGGAATTTCAAAAGTCTATGAATGAGACACACCATAAACCATAAAAGAATGTGATAAATGCAACAGTAGAAGAATGCTTACTATACAGTGGTGGAACAGGAGGAAGGAGCAACTTGGAGAGGAGCACTGGACTTGAAGGATAAGGAGCCTGCTGGGGAATGAGAATGCCACTCCAGGCACAGAGAACAGTGCGTCCTGTGTCATGGCTCTGGGAGATACTGCCGGTGGTCTGGTGTTGCCTGGCGCATAAAGAATGACAGAGGGACCTGGGGCGGGGGGACGTGGTCTAAGAAGGGGCGAGATGTGAAAGGTTATAGGAGAGTTTACAGTAGACTCCACATACAAAGAGACTCCACAGATGAAGAGTTTTAAACAACGGTATGACATGAACAAAGGTGTGTTTTGCAAAGGTGGGCTTCCCTGGTGACTCAGGCGGTAAAGAATCTGCCTGCAGTGCAGGAGACCTGGGGTCCAAAAGACCCCTGGAGAAGGGAATGGCAGCCCACTCCAGTATTCTTGCCTGGAGAATTCCATGGACAGAGGAGCCTGGTGGGCTAAGAGCCTGCGGTCCAAGAGGCCGCAAAGAGGTGGACATGACTGAGTGACTAACACTCATGACAGGGTCAGAGGTGTGCTTTGTAGAGGTGACTCTGGAAGCAGCAGTATAAAGGGTTAGAGAGCAAGCACCAGAAGTAAGATGAGAACTTCAGGCAAGAGACAGATGTCTGGGGTCTGAGCTGAGGAAATGGCAGCAGGGACAAGAGAAGTGGGCAAATCTGAGATATGTCAGAAAGGTGGAATTGTTGGGACCTGGTGACCAATTAGATTAGCATCAGGAGAAAAGAAGCAGGGTTTATGTGACTCCAGGGTTCCAATTTGGTGCCATTTCACCAAGAAGAGGGAACAGACAGGAGTGAATTCAGAGATAATGAGTTTGGTTTTGCAGGTTTTGAGTTTGAGGCAACAAAAAGGCACCCAGATGGTGATTTCTAGCAAGAAGTCAGAGAAAAAACCAAGGATGGGAGACATCTGGAGTTTGTGTCAACATGTAGGTGGCAGTTAGAACTATGATGGTGTGCTCTGGTGGTTCAGGAAGATTATGTGCCCTGCAGTATGAACATAAGGACAGGGACAGAACCATGATTTCAGAGCAAGGGAGGAGAATCTAGTAAAGGAGCTATAAGGGGATGATCAGAGAGACAGAAGTGATATTTCAGAAGCAAAAAACATTAAAAATAGTGTCAAGAGGTAGGGAGGTCAGCAGTGTCATATACTACATGAGTCAAGAATGATGAGAAGCCGGAAATTTGTTCCCAAGATTTGACAACTTTCAAGTTATTCATGACTTCTGATGAATTTAGTGGGGTGATGGGAGCAGAAGCCGCCCAGCAAGAGGCTGAAGGAAGAGTGAGAGCTGAGAAGGCTGGATCAGAGTATAGGTCAAGGCCTCTTAAGGCACAGGATGGAGGCACAGGATTACATCACAACCTCTTAAGTCACTTCTGCAAAGAAATAATTTTGTATCTGAAAGCAGGCTTAATAGTTCAATTTCTAGCACATCTGTGCTTATTCAACCTTTCCCAAGTCAGCACCTAAGGACAGCAAGTGATAGAACAAAGTGTGGTGAATTAAGGGACTGTTTCTCACCCCAGGACCTGCCACATGTAAAAACAGCTGACCCTTGAACAAACAGGCTTTGAACCATGTGGATCCACTTACACTCAGATCTTTTCGTAGCTAGTACTACAGTACTACACAATCTGTGTTGGTTGAATCTGTGGACTTGCAAGCTGACTGTAAGTTTACCCAGCCATCCTGACCTGATAGTTCACCGATGAAGGGTGAATGTGTACATATCCATCATTCTTAGTGACAAACTTCAACTCATCTGATTTTGGCTGCATTCTGACAGCTCCAGTACTGGTCTTCTGAAATTTCCCCTCTGGGCTTTTCACCTAAACAATACATAGTTATAAGAAAAAATATATATATGTATTTCCATTGTAGGGTATATTCAGACACAAAACCAATCTTGTTTGAATGCCTTTGCTGCGTCTTCCCTCTTTAGTTTCCCTTTGAAAGCAGTATAAGCATGCTTGCTTTGTTTCTTTTAACCATGAAGAAGTGTGGATATGAGTGCAGTAGTCCTGGGTGACTGTACTGCACACCAGCCACATGGGGGAGACCATGCTGATGTTCCAGGTGTGCCCTGAGGATCGGGGAAAGAGATCCTGCTGGCAACACTGGCCAGGAATCCGCTGACACTTCCAGTACCAGTCCAACACTTCCAAATGAATTTTTCAAAACAGTAAAAAAAAAAAAAAAAAAAAAAGAAAAGAAAACTCTATGAATGAATAGATTGTTTCACTTGAAACAACTGAAAAGCTTATGTGCACACACGTACCCCATATTTACTGTAGAAAGTAACAGTACTGTGTAACACAGGGAACAATATTCAATATCTTATAATAACCTATAATGGAAAATAGTCTGAAAAAATATATATAACTGAATCACTGTTCTAAAACACACTACTGTTAATCAACTACACTTCAGTAAAATATATATATATACACTAGGAAAAATCTCTCATATTCTCATGATTAAGAAATAACTATTTGAGAAACACTTTAGTTTTCTATTATATTTTTATAATATAGAAATGGAGGTAAATGATATAAGATATATACCAAAACTAATATAGGATCATTTTCCATATTTTCCTAAAACATAATTCTAAATTAGCACCTCACTGTAATGACATATAATAATTTAACCAATAAATTCCCTATTATTAGAGTTTTAGATCATTCATTCTAGTGCTGTTTATAATTGCAAACATTCTCCCAGCTGTATCTTTACATAAATATGCAATTATTTTCTAATAATAAATCCTTAGAAACAAAACTGCTATCTAGAAAGGGTGTATCAATTTATACTCTTACCAAGAGTAGAAACATTCATTTAAAAAAATTGTCAAATCACAATCACCCAAAGTCCACAGTTTATGTTAGGGTTCACTTTTGTTGTTGTATATTCCAAGGGTTTGGACAAGTGTGATACGTATCTATCATTATGGTATCATGCACAGTATTTTTACTGCCCTAAAAATCTTCTGTGTTCTGCTTATTCATCCCATCCACCCCTGATGTTTTGTCTCCATTGCTTTTACTTTAAAAAAATCATTTGGAGAAGTTGAAAATGGTTTCAAAAGCATGCAAGCACTAAGCAAAACTGAGCCATAAATGAATTGACAGATGTCAACTGAGTATATAACAAAAAGTTAAATGAGATGTGCTTCAGTACTCTAACAAATTCACATTCTAAGTTTGACAGGGACGAGATGATCAAACCTCAAATAAAAGTCCAACAGTCCATTCAGGAATGGTTTCCAGAAGAGATCACAGATGTCCCATGGCAAAGCACTGACTTAATTTTGTTCTTATCTAATTTTAGTCCAGAGTAGACGGCATAATGGGAGTTGTAGCAGAATCAAATTTCGACCTAACCCTAGGTTAGTTATGCACAGACTGGCTGACAGTGACATTTATGCCCATTTTGATTTCTGGAATGTCATGTCAGAAGGATTAAAAAGGCACCTTCTTTTATATAATGAATGTGTTCTTGAAGAGTCTATATCTAAACACATTTGGGGAATTGAAGGGTTGGAAATATAAACAAAGTCTAAAAGGCTGTGTGTGTGTATCTTTAGATGATTAATGTGAGTGTCTTAACTTATGTCTCTTGGCTACAAATCCAACAAACAAGAAGTGGGAGGACCAGGAAAACATTGTTACCTGCACTACGTTTGGATACAGAGCAGCACACAGCATTGCTGATATCAACTTGGGGTTCTCAGCGTTTGAGTTTGCCTGTGAGAGAAATACAGCGTTAATCTTATAAATAATGTGGCTATTTCCGACTGTGCCTTGGAATTTACTATTATATTTCTTTTGATTTCTATCTTAAAAGCATCTGAAAAATGGACTACATTCACAGAGGATCCATTCCAAGAAGCCCACAATTACTTTCAAGATCTCTGCAAAGCAGTTATAAAGACAGTGTTCCTAAGGATCAGTGGAGAGAAAGATTCTGGTTTGTGAAATTTCCAGAAAGTATTAACTGCACTAAGAGTGACATCAGGTTCATCTTGAATTGTTCTTCCTATAGTTAAATATAAAACTATCCTTGGTTTGAAAAAGGCTGGTCTAATTAAGAAGACATTACTGGAAAGTCTGCTCTATCTCTGATGGACTCACCAAAAATAAATGTAAATAAAAAACAGAAGCAACAAGAAGCAGAAAAACCCTTATTTTTATGAGTGTTAGTTGACATTTGTGGAAAGAAGAAAATCAAGAATGCCACTAACCTATTGCTCCTAGGGCTTAAGTGAAGAAGGCCTACAGGTATTCCTCGGGTAATAGATTAAGGATATGATCATTAAAGAGAAATAAGAGCTAGCTGCATACATTTTACCTCTTCTCCTGTGGCATCCAATATACCATCTCCTCCTCCTTGGGCCCTTTTCTCAATTTCCCTTGCTCGGAGTCCCTCCTTAACAAAGCCTATGTCCGATAACAGTTCAGTGAACTGTCGTTTCAGGCTTGCCATTTCCTGAAACAAGTGGAGAAAGTCTTTAAGCAGAGACACTGACACATTAAAGGCAAGAATGACTACAAAAATGAATTACTTCAGTGGACAGTGGACTCATGGGTTTACCAGGCAAGTATGAAGAATATCTTGTCTGTTCATTCCCAGAAGGGCAGTTTTCACTTCAGACAGAGTAAAACTGTTACACAGAAATTCACAAAGTTCAGAAAATCCAAAGATCATTTAATTGTAAATTATGTTTTAAAAAAAAATTGGATTTTGCACAGGTCTGATTTTTTTCTGGCAACACTTAGGACAGCCAGAAATGTAGTTTACTGTGTTTGGAACCCTACTCAAGGTGCTGTGACCCTGTTCATTTTTCCTACTTTCTTTCTGCTGGGGTCCTTATAGTGCCTTCTCTGAGCTTAAAGTGGTTGGCATTCTCTCTCAATGGATGCAGAATACCCACCTCAGAAACCTTCCCTTTCTCTTACCCTGTGGACTTGCTGGCTCACATTTTCCCCTGGGAATAGGAATACTATTAAGTGGTTTAGATTTACACACCCATTCTGTAGCTGAGCACAAGTGTGAGAATGAAAAACACAAACCTCTTTTTGGCTTCTGTTCAAATACTGGCTATCAGACAACACAAAAGCAGATGACGCCAATCAAAAGGAATGGAGAGCTAAGCGATGGTACTCTGTCTCTGATGACAGTTTAAGTGTTTTCTTGGATTGTCTCAAGTACAGATGGGTAACACAGCAAAAATACAACTGGGATTCAAATATCCCAGAGTTCTTTTTTTTTTTTTAATCTTAGTTGTTGTTGTTGTTTCAGTTTTACTTATTTACTCATTTTTTTACTTTCTGATATTGTATTGGTTTTGCCATACATTGACATGAATCCGCCATGGGTGTACATGTGTATTTCATGACAAGCTTTCATTAATATCTTATTAAACTAATTCTATACTCTAAGCTGGAATGTAGTGAAAAGAGGTAATGGATGAACCTCATAGATCACTGAAAAATCTAAATACAGCCTAAGGAAAAAGATTACATTTAGTAAATATATATATAAATATAAAAGATATTTTTTACACTTAAGGAAATATTTATTATTGCACTTTACATATAAAATACCTTTAGACCAGTGGTTCTCAACCCTTGCAGCATATGAGAATGACTTGTTGAATTCACAACAAGAATAAACAGATAGATGCTCAGGCCCTACCCCTAGAGATTCAGATGTAACTGGCCTGGGATGGAATTTGGGCATTTTGCATTTTTTTTTAAGCTTCCTCAGGTGAATCTAATGTGTGGCCATGACTGAAAATCACTGCTTTTGTTATACTTAGATTAAAGCCAGAGCCTCTGTCTTCTCCACATGTCTCTTTGTAGTATACCTAAAGACAGAGAAGGAGAAGGCAAATACTGGGATGGTTTTGAGGTCTCTTATGTCACTGTCAATAAACAAACTCATTCATTCATGCATTCAATGAACTTTACCAGGCATCAACTATGTTCTAAGTACTCTTCTAGGCACTGGGGATATAGAACTGAAGAAAACATAAAATGTCTGCTCTGACAGTTCTTATGGGGTAGAGAGGTAACTAGTTGTCAGGTATGAACATTAGTTTTGTGTTCTATTCCAAAACATCATCTAATATGGAAAGAAAGTCCTTCCACCTCCCTACCCTCAAAATTTGAGTGAAATGGAGGCTCTATAAATACATACACCATTATTATTCTGGATTTTCATGCTACTATGGAAAGGGGCCCAAAATATTGTCACAACAGAAGACAGAGCCCTGTCTATTATTACACAGAAGATAATAAACCTTTCTCATGTACTCGTTATTGACATAGTAGCCTCTGATGGACAAAAGAATTAATAAAGAAAATCTGGTTCACTATTTGTTCTTTGGTTTTAGGGAGAAGGTAAGGGGCTTGGGGATGGTCATAGATCCCTTGAGACTCGATGAAAGCTATGTTCTCTTTGTCCAGGATAGTGTACATATGTGTAAGGGCATGACTTTGCAAACAATTTCAGAGGGTTATGGATCCAGGTTAAGGATGTTTGGTATCATCACTGAAAAAAGTGACTTCTAGTAAGCAGTAATCTTCAGAATGGCTACATTCCCATAGCCTCCATGTAAGTTAAACACAGATTCACTGAGAAGAGGAAAAACGGGTGAATTGAAAGGTTCAGCACAGAAGGCCTGATGTCATAGGCCAGGAGTCCGTTTTACACAGCTGGTGAAGCCAAGCATATTCCAAAAATAATATTTTCAATGTCCAGGTAGGACAAGCAAGATAAAGTTGCAGCACCCCCTGGTGCACTACTACAGTAAATGAATGAAAACAAATTTCCACAGAAACAACTCACCTGAAGAACTCTTCCTGACAAGAAGTTTTGTCTGCAGTAATTATAACTTGCACGCATACCTTCTTTCATACTTAGTTGCCATCCCTAAATTTTGGAGAAAATCAAAATGTTATTCTGTCTTTAGTGCCAACTCTGGTAATAAACCTCAGCTATTAGCTTATATACTTACCTTATATGCTCGTAGAAGGGCCAGATAATCACTGTTTGCAAACGCAAATTCTAGCTTTTTCTGGTTAGCTTCCTCTTTTTTGTCCCAGGGAGATACCTAAAGGAAGAAAGCCAGGTTTGAAGGACACATTTTATCCAAGGTTTCAAGTGGCACTTTGCTACCACTGAAGTCAGGTGCTTGGGAAGTGCTTTGTGTGGGTCAGAGTACAAAGTGGGTGACTGGTTAAAAGTAATTATGGTGGTTAAGTGCCAAGCCAACAGTCCTAATTGTCTGTGTGAGTCCGTCTGCCCACTCAAAATAACCTCTATTGGATCTTTTACTTCCTAGTGGCAAGATGTCAAAGAGCTACTCACTCTAAAAGCTACATCTAAAACCCAAGATTCTGTTAACTCTGTGATATCTTCATTTTACAGACTCTTTTTCATCTTTTATACTTAAGTCTCCCCTATTTCTATAGCCATAATTCATGCTTTTTCCTCTGAAAAATACAGGTTCTCCTTTTCCCTAGAAATTAGTGACATTAACTGAGAACTTAATTTTCACTGCCTTCTTTCACTTTAATATACACATGTATCAATATAAGGTACACATGTATCAATACTAAAGATACCAGCATGTTACACTGAGGCCCTAGTATCACACTGAAAGTCATTCTAAACCAACTATGGTGCTTCTTTATAAATTTGTATATCTGCACACCTTTATAGCTAACAATAATATTAAAATTTTATTTATTTCTACTTGAAAATAAAATTTCTTCTGTTTTAGGAAGGCTAGTGGGGAAAGGATTACATTTGGGAATTAACATTATGCTTACAGAACCCAGCAAAGGACAGGTGTTCAGTTTTGGCTAAGGGTGACACCAGTATTTCTAATAAACAATTTCTATATTCCAGTAAAAGAAAACAGCCAATGAGAGGTTATTTAGATTATGTGAGAATAGGCAGTGGAGGTCTTGCTCACATCAATACTGACTGTATGTTGCTGAGTAAGCTACATCACCTAGTCTGGTCCTTGGTTTTGTTATCTGTTGTTAAATGAAGGGGCTGAACTAAGATCTTTTTGTAGATCTGTGAGTTTACAATTCCATGAAGTATAACATTAAAACTGAAAAAATTATTACATCTATCTATTCCCCTATCTATCTGAGATAAGCCCTGGTGAAAATAAAGGCAGAGTGACACTCTACGCAATAACAGCTGAATATTCATTCTCAAGTCTACATGGGATACTTTCCAGGACAGAGCATATGCTTAGCCATAAAACAAAGATCATAATAAGTTTTAAAGGACTAAAATAATAAAAAGTATATTCTCTGACCACAACAGAATGAAATTAGAAGTCAATAACAGGAAAAAATTGGGAAACTCATAGATGCCATGGACATTAAACAACACATGCCTAAATAACCAATGAGTCATAGAAGAACTGAAAAGGAAAATTAGAAAATACTTGAAATGAATGAAAATGAAGACACAACATACCAAAACTTATGGGATGCAGCTAAAGCCGTCCGTAGAAGAAAATTTATAGCTGTATATGTCTATATTAAAAAAGAAGAAAGATCTCAAATCAATAACCTAACCTTTCACTTTAAGACACTGGGAAATGAACTAAAACTGAAACAAATGGAAGAAAATAAATCACAGAAATTAATAAAATAGAGAACAGAAAAACAGTAGGGAAAAATCAATGAAATCAAAAGCCGGTTCTCTGAAAAGATCAACAAAATAGGCAAGCTGATCAAGAAGAAGAGAGAAGGCTCAAATTACTAGAATCAGAAATGAAGAGGGACATTACTACCAAGCTCTCAGAAATAAAAAGGACTATAAAATACTATGAATGTATATTAATAAGTTAGGTAATTTAGCTGAAATGGACAAATTCCTAGAAAAATGAAAATGACTCAAAAAGAAACAGATAATCTGAATACACCTATAACAAATGAAGAAGCTGAATTATTAAAAAAACTAACCACAAAGAAAAGCCCAGGTGACTTCACCACTGAATTATACCAAGCATTTAAAGTATTAATTCCTCACAAAATCTTAAAAAAAAAAAAAAACGGTTGGCAAGAACACTTCCCAAATTACTATGTGGCCAGTATTACTCTGACAGCAAAGCCAGATAAAGACATCACAAGGAAGGAATACTACAGACCAGCATCTCTCATAAATATGATGTAAAAATCCTCAAAACACTAACAAAGAACAAAGTTGGAGGACTCATACTTCCTGATTTCAAAACTTACTACAAAACTATTCGAGTTTTGTATTTTGAATCAAGACAGTGTGAAACTGGCATAAGT